TTGTGCTTGCAGCAAGAGAAGTCAGGAATACCTTCAGCAAACTCAAGTTATATATGATTCTGGTCTTGAATCTAGATGCTGACTTCTTGAATTAAGTCCAAACTCAGAGTTAGTTTCATATGAGCCTATGTGTAGATTTGGCATGTACAAGAGAGTTTATAATCAAACTGACTTCTGAAAGCTAGTACGTAAGCTCTATGGGAGCAGGGACTGTATACCTCTGCAGTGCCTACTTGAGGGCCTAACAGCATTACTACAATAAAAACAAGAATACTGCTGAACACGGCATTTATTTTTAAACAGCACCCTAAAGAGAAGAAATGCTACTGAAAAAGCACTATATAAAATGGGGCCAAATATGTCTTTGTTCCAGTAGCACACAGTGAAAACCCTAAGGGGATGACTGCTAGATATACAAAGAAGCTGCACTTAAAATCTTGTAGGTTATAGTTATGAGTAGAACACTACCAGTAAGCTATATTGTAGTATAAGTCAGTTCACATTAGTGCAAAATATCTATTTGGATAGCTCTGAGTGCAGCTACGTTGGTGTTAAAACCTTACCACAGTCAGGCCTTCCTATAAACATGACGTTATCTTCACTGGCATCTAAAATTACACCATATTCTGTCAGCCCCATGCCCTGCACTTTATATAGAATTGGTTGGCAGTAGCATCTCCTGACACCAGCTCTGGCTATTTCCCACCATGCGTTAGAAAACTGAATGCAACATTTCAGCAGAGTTTCAGGCTACCAACTTTAACACTTCTATAATACAGAATCAGATGACCCTAATCTTAAGGCACAAAACTCCATCTTTCACCAAGTCTCAGTGTTCTGCAGAATTGAAAGCCAGATTCCTTATATCCTGACTTGTGTGTATTACCCTTTATATCCAAAACTGAGGTGCAACAAAAGTTTGCATGTTAAAGATTAAAGAAAATGAAGGTATGAAAATGCATCTCAAAATCCATAGCTAATTGCCTCAACTTTTTATTGCCTTTAAAGCTAATAAAGTGTACATAATTTTCACAGCCTCAGAAAAGTTGAGTTCTATCTTTTAAGTCAACCTTTCTGCTCTCATTTATGATCAATTATTCATAGGCAATCACCAGCTTTGGTGTGCTAGCAGTTTTTAAAATGTATTTGCCTCTTTCTCTTAAAATGGAAGAGCTCAAGACTGAGTTTTTAGAGCTTTTGGGGGGGCAAGGGGTAGCACTGTCTGCTTTCACAGACAACTTCACTTTGTTCAAATTGCATGGTTTGTTTGTTTTTAAAAAAACAGGCCTAAGGTATTAAAAAAAACCCAAAACCTGCCGATTTAGAGTCATCAGCCTATTCTTAACTCTCTTTCTTCAAGTACCTCCAAAGGACACTTAACAGAAGAGCTCAAGATTGAGTTTTCAGAGCATTGGGGGTGGTGGTGGTTAGCATTGTCTGCTTTCATTACATTTCATTAATAATTAGTTTTAGCAGTTTCCTCTTTCTAATGTTTTTGATGGAGCAAATGAACGCATTAGTCTATAAAACTACAAATTCCTTGAACAGCTACGGGAAAAGTAATCTAAGAGAAAAGCCAAAAAATCTAGTTTAAAATTGAGCAATGTAAAAGCTTCATTCCTGAGTGCAACTGTAGCAGTTTCATGAATGACAGCTGAAGCCAGCACCTGCATTTCCCAGCACAGCCAGCACCTGGGCAAGCCAGGCAGGCTGGGAGCCACTCCTCCTGCACAGCCGTCTTTCAGCTGCCATCTCCTGGGGTAGGCTCCTTATAACACAACCCCCCCACCAGTTTATTTCATGACAATCTTCCATCAGTTACTGTTTTCATAGTATGCATCAGGCTGAGCTTCTCTTGAGAACAGAACAAATGAAAGATTTTGAGCCAGAAAACTCTTAAGCAACGCTGATATACAGACATTCCGCCAGACAAAGGCATCAGTATATTCAAATATTGCCAGCCAAGACCAAGACATCTTTTCAGAAGGACAAATTCTCACTCTGAAGACATGCACTTCCCTCCCACAAACACCACTCATCTGGCAGATCTCTATGTGAGTCACATGTTTACCCTCTGGTCTGCAGCATCTGTTCCTGGGAACATCTGTCTGTATCTGGAGCCACCACCTCTGCAGCATGCTGTGACACAGGTGGAAGAGCCACAGAGGGGTGGGATTAACCTCCCAAGGTTAATAGCCAAGGCAGAGAAACAGCTGGACTCATCCCAGAAAGCTAGGACTGCATTGTATATTGATCTGCAGCTGCCTATCATCCCACTCATGGACCTCGCCAGAAAACAAGGTAGTCCTCATCCGGCAGCCTAGTCCTGCGTGTGTAGAAACCAGGAGATGTGCAGCCATATCATTCCTCGACATGCAGTTGGACACAGCTGGGATTCATCCCCTGGCCTAGAAATTTGGAAGCACTTCTAGACATAGCCTTAGGCAGTTATCTTAGAACAGAGTAATTTGCCCTCTTAAGATATCTCCCTAGCAGAGAGGGTAGCCCTACAGAGGGAGCCAGAACACCGAGCTTGGAGTATGGACTTAAATTTCAGTGAGATACATTTTACCTCTAATTATGCACATCATCCCTCCTAGGGGCTTTTCCATTTCGCTTTTAGATGCCAGCTGAAGAACCCAAAGTTACACAATACTGATACATCATTGTTCCAGAACAAAGCAGTACATGCCTCATGCACAGCTAGGACACAAAATGACATTTCATTGTTTTGACCATGGCAGTGTATGCACATTGTAACGCTCAGCTGTGACTCAGTACATCATCTCTTCCATTCATTGTTCCTGGTCACTGTGGGGAGGGAGGTACACAATTATTCTTTCTCTTCTTTTCTGCACCCTCCTTCCCAGCTTCATTGCTGATGGGGAAGGTGCACTTAAGGTCACCCTGGAGAAATCTTCCAGGAGACTGCACTAGTGCCTCTCTAGTGCTGCAACACAGTGAATCCACAGGAATTGCCCCGATCATAGGGCACCAAGTACAATTTAACTGTTCTAAATACCACTGGTTTTCTGTATCAAAGCACAGCACCAGTATGAAAGCACTGCATAGGTTTTACTTCATTCATAAACCATCCACCACAAGGCAAATTAGGCATTTATTTTTGCGAAATTAATACACTAATTAGTTGCATGGTAACAGCAAACATGAACATGGAAAAATGAACACCAAAAATGTGAAACAGTTTGCATGTTAGTTTTTTTTTTCTCTAAAAACAAAAAGAATTATTTGACAGAGGAAGTGATCTGTACTCAGGTTTCTGTACAATTCCCAGTAAAAATGACATTCAAATAGTAGAGGGCTTCTCTCTAACCTCCAAAGCAAAGGAAAATTCAACCTTGAACTTGCTCCGTTCTGTCTAGATAACAGGGCCCACGTGGTTTGGAGGCTACATACGTGTATGCGCACAAGGAGCAGCTGCTGTCCTGCAGAGCAAGGACTTGCTCACTTCCATTGAGGAAAGTGCATCCGTAAGCTAATGAGCACAGTTTAACCATGCTTCTGCTTGAAGTTGTGTGTTTCACTGGGTTTTACTTAAGCTGGATACAGTAACCATCACTAAGTATTAAAATTGATTGAGATCACTGGGAAAGAGATCATTGCCTAATTTTCTGGTTTTATTTTGTGCAGCTAGCAGCTGTTTGTAGATTTTTTTTTTTTTTACTGCAGACACAATGAAATGGATTATACAGCTGAGGCTTAAGTGTTGTGTGATGTAACGATATACAAGCTTGAGCAAATAATTTTACTTCTCTTTACCTCATTTCTCTTCCTTTATATCCATCTTGTCTACATTGATAACGAGCACTAGATAAAATTGCCTCTCAGCATGAATAAAAATGCCATACACAATGGGACTTTGAACTTTTAACACCTAAACACTATCATGGCACAGAACAATAATATAAATGCAATTATCTTACTCAGATGAGCAGCCCATTGTTTCCAGTGGAAGCACAGGCATGCTATGTCAGTCTTTTTAGCTAAGTTTCAAAACAGTAACAAAAGAAAAACTGTATTAAAATCATAAATGTGAATATAAATACATATATAAACTGCAAAAAGTTCAATAGATGCACTTTCCTTTGGAAAAATTAATCCATTTTGATGACTTTGAATCCTAACCTGTCTAAAGTCAAACTACTAAAGCAAATTAAAGTTATTCTTATAGTTGCCTTTTTGTAATAATAGCCTCCTTTTTTTTCCTGCAGCACCATACAATTACACAGCCAAAAAAGCTCCTTCAGTATTGATGATGTCTATACATCATTAAGTAGTTACAGGTTTGCGTGTTATTGCTAATCCAAGTTTGTTGCTGGTAGAATATTAGATCTAACTTTGAATCAAGGTCTGTCCATATTTTTTTAAATGTAATGGACTTGTAATATCAGCTGCACAGTAAAAATGTTTCTGTGAGACACAGCTACTGGAAAGTAACCACTAATAAAAAGTTAATAACTCTGGGGTATAGTTTATATTTTCTTCTCTGTCTGTACCAAAATGTTTAATCTACTTCAAGTAGCTTTCATGTTACAAGAATGTCAAAATAGCATAAAGCTTGCAAACTGATTCTGCATTCATATAAAATTAAACTCAGGATTTTAAGGTTAAAAAAAAAATTCCAATTGTCCTGTTGTGACCTCCCATGCAGACAGTGAACACAGACTAGCAATATAAAGGCATTAAAGCAGTATATATCACAGAGGACTAAATACCTTGCAACCAAGAATTTTAGGGAAGATTGTTTTAAAAACTGACTCCATATTAAAAAGCACAAAGTGATGATTTCAAAGGAGAGTCAAGAACACTTAAAAACCCTACTTATTAATTAGGACTGAATGAAATGAATGAGTAAATTGTTCAAATTGAAATGACTATTACAACTGCTTAAAAACATATAGATTCTCTGTAAAAACAACTCAAAGCTAAACCACTATGCTCATTAGGAACAGTACCACTTTATTTTAAAAAGAGCACAGTTATTTTTCTGAATTTGCCCCAAAGCATTCCTTGTTTTCTTTCCAAGAATATTCGTCCTCATAAATCTCCTGGAAATATAAACAAAGAATGGGAAATATTGTGGGAATCTGCTACATACAGCCACAAGCCAGGCCAAACAACTCAACAGCCATCCTGCTGTTATTTACTGATCACAACAGGACTACACAGCACTTAGCTGGCAAACAGAAAAGAGGACAGCATCCTTAGAACATACCAACTTACATATGGGAAGATCCTGAACCTTGGGCTGAACCCCATTAAATTTAGAAGGGCCCATCTATGCTGAAGTCACTTCAGGAGAGATCTAGAAGAAATTATGTAAAAGCTGTAGAGTACGCAGCACTCTTATCTGAAATACTGCCCTTTTTACATGTTGCTATGTTAACCTACTGTACCATTATATTTAGGAATGAGAGTATTTAAGTGTATATAAACTGTCAATATTAAAAAAATTAAAATTACAACAATACCCAAAATACAGTAAGTATTACATCTTCAGGACAGACTGGACTACCCAGCAGCAGTCTAGTCCTAAGCAGCAAATTTAGCAGGACTCTGAGCCCCTGACTATTCTTTCTGAGACCACAGAACTCCAGTCTCCTGAAAGAGGTATTAGAAAAGTGGAGCAATGCAGAGAACATCACTGTTACCACATGCCAAGTTTTGCCTGGGAGAGAAGGCAGAGGTAATGCTCATTACTTGCATGCAACACTTGTTATGCAATGAGACTCTTTCTAGACCCGAGCTGGTCTCTCCACACATTGTTGTGTGCCCATACTAGCTTTGGGACCTCTGCACATCCCTTCATTGTGTGCTGTTGCTTAATGCTTTGTGCTTTCTCAAGGCCACATAGATGAGGGGAAAACAGAAAGACAAGAAATGCCACTTTTACTTGCAAACTGCAACACTGTCCAAAGCAGAGCTGACTCAAGGCTCTTCCACAAGCCTGTGCAGAACTGAATTTTTGCCACCCAAAAGAGGAGAGCTCAGGGCTCCTTCATTTTGACCCCAGGGTACAGGCAAGGGAGGGCCTCCCAGGTGCCCTACCTGCCACAGATGGGCCTGGCTGCATTAGAGGAAACTCACTGGTGCTAAACATTGTCATCCCGTCAGGAACAACTGCTGCTTGTAATGCTTCAGCTCCTTCCCTTAAGAGCAGCAGCAGCCTCCAGCCCAGTTGTCTAAGACTCTGGCACAGGCCTAGAACCAAATTTGTCCCAAACCAACCTTTTTCCATATTGGAACGGACGCTTTTAAGGTGTTGATGCAGTACATTACAGCTTCAAGGGAATCTGCTCTGTGTGGAGAGGAGACTGAAATAATTACACTTGCTTCAGTTATTGGAACCACACTAGGGAGAGAAGAGGAACAACAGCAGCTTTAGCTAATGCTTAACATCAAGAGCACCCAAAAGTTGTGGCCATGTCACGTCAGTATTCTGGCCACACGCTCTCCTGACTCATTCATACTGAGCATTTTTTTTTTTTTTTTTTTTTTTTTCCTCCTTTATAGATTTTATACCACATCGTAAAAAGACTGTTATTTACGTCACAAATTCAAACACTCTAGATTGAGGAAATGCCAGATTTATGGTTGCCTGTGAGTTCTTATTTCTCTTTCTTTGTATCTAATTTGTGCGCAGACTGGATCATGGGTCCTGTGGTCAGGGAAGAAAACCGTTTGCAGTCGTAATTAAAAGAGAACTAGAAGGTGCACAGCTAATCTACCCTTTCTGATGAATTAGGTGGGAAGGGGTACTTCCCCTTTGGTGCTCCCAGGAGAGACCAAACTTAGTTAATAGAAGTAGCACAAGGTTTTGTTTTGCTCCTCACAAGTGTAGTATTCCCAAAAGCTGCCTCCCAACCCCCCCTCTATAGTAAGACTCCTCTGGCAAACAGCTCAGAGGAAAAAAATCTAAGCTTAAGTGCTTTGAGCTGCCCTTGAGAGAATTGCTCTCTCTGTTGACTATAGAGGAAATCTAAGGAAACTAGCCCTCAGAGCTAATATTACCCTTTGCGATCACCTTCTAAGTTCCTTCTGCTGAGAGAAAAGGAAACAAGCATTTGCAACACACACTGCAAATCCTGCTAGCTTCAGTGAGAAATCTGATGAACGGTGAAGGGTCAAGAGTATGTCAGACACTAGTATTCCATGTTTTAAACCCACCAGAAAACGCTTATCCAAGGCTCAAGGAACAACAGGAGGTTCTCCTACAAGCATGGCTGGCAATTACCATGCCTCTCCCCCTCCCCATAGTCTAAGCTTTCAGGTTCCCTATTGCATAATTTGACTTAAATCTGACAATAAGAAACCAACATTCTGTGGCACCTCAATGGAAGAGAGAAGAAAAAACCCAAGTGGTGCCAACTTCATGTCTTGAAAAAAAAGGCAAAAAATCAACAGCATCCCCTTCCCAGCAATGAGATATCAATCCCTTCTCCCCACTTTCAAACCATCACACCAGCATCAAGGTTCCTGCAGTCTAAATATGGATTCCAGCAAATACTACCAAAACACACGTTTTGAAAAAGACTATTTCTGAAACTTAGCTGTGCAGCAAGAGCTTGATCCTGCAGCCAGCTTTACTGCATTACAGTTTATATAGACTCCTGAACATCCTGCAACTATATAAGCACAACCATGCACCAGACAAGGATTAATATACCACTTGCAGAAGGATGTGGTCTGGCCATACATACCCAAGTCTATGGTGCACTGCAATATGTTTGACTGATGGCCATTTCTGTCTAACGTATCTGCAGATTTTCTTTATTTCGGTCTCTGCCATTGAAGTATACACTTCATACGCTAAGTGAATCACTTCTTTCCCTTCAAAATTATTTCTCATAGTACCTAAACACAAAGAAGTTACTAACCAAAAGCACCGATAAATACTGAGTAAAACCCAGGATCTCCCACTACGGCCAAGGTCAGCACTGTGCAAACGTAAATGACCTCCCCTAATCATGGCTGTGTAAAGAGATTCTTTGAACAAGAGAAATCTATAATATACAAGGAAGAATTTAGCCTACAGATTACACGAGTCTGCAATCTGTAATGCCCAAGGCTGAGACATCTTCTGTGGTAACTTCTAAGGTGCTATTATTGCATTTGCCCATGCAACGTTTAAGTGCTCAGTATTTAGGAGCCCAGTGGCACTAAAGTTTGAGTACAAAGGGGTTTCAAGATCTGTACCATGTACGTTAAGCAACAGGACAGAGCCATCAGCCTTGACCAGCCCATGAATAAAATTGTACTTTGCTTTCAACCGAGGTCTGAGTTGCAGCAGCTTTCATACAGGTGTGGACCTGTGGCTTGCTTAGCCACAACATCCCACTTCCCACCTTGAATAAGCTGTGTCCAAGGGGATGGGAAAATAGCTCCCAAGCAGTCCTGTACTCCAGAGCTGTTGTTCTGTTCAGCCCTAGGATAGCCACACCAGCAGGGAAGCTTCTCACCACTTTGTCCCAATGCAACTGTTTAAGAGCATGGTCTTATTCTAAATAATTCAGAATGTTTTCTAAACGTCCTGGGTTCAGTCCAGGAATTTATTTATTTGAGAAGCACGAGTTTGGGGTGTGGACAATCTAGGTTGCATTTATTAGACTATTAACACACCCAGAGATCCAGCTCAGAAACATTAACCTCACCAATGAACAGAGACACTGCCCCACAGTATGGTGAAACGACCAGCTCTGACTTCATCTATAGAGAGCTTTTCAGACTTGAGCTGGATAAAATCTTTTGGCACATCTTTGTTTACACCCATAGCTCGCTAGAAAGGCTGAAACCTAACAGACTCTGTTGTTGGTTTTGGCGATACTAGCATTTGCCAACTGCCTTTTATTCAGTGCTGATGCCCCAATTTATTCAGAAAACATGCACCATCTACTTACCCCAAGAGACCAGTCTCCATGGCAAATTCACTTCTCAGCAGACTTGCTGAGAGAATATTCAGCTGCAAATATCAAGTGATGACCTGGTTTTTAATGCATACGGGTTCCTTCCTGGTAGGAAAGTCTGGTCCAGTAGGATGAAACTAGAACTAGTGCAAGGCCCCAGTTTAACAGTACAATCAACCAGCATGGACCACTGTGCTAGTAAATCTGTGGTAAGATTGTCAGCTCCTCCTCCCTATCTTATCCTGAAATCAAACACAGTTTAAAACAGAGATTTCTGATAAACACAGATTAGGGTTTTAACCCTAAAGTTTAATATGCTCTCCAGGACATTCAGGTCTGTTTCAGTGACACAGGAGACACTTCTAATTTCTCTGAATAGAAACCAGTCATCAGTTCATCTAAGAATGAGAAGGAAAAGAAGTATTTTGAGGAGCAGCAATGGAATAAGCTGCAGTAAATACATGCACTGGCACTTGAAAGCATGTAAAGAAATGAAGCTATTCTAAGGACACCTGTTCCTTTGACAGCAAGAAAAAAAAATATATTTTTTTTTTTTAAGCAGCAGTCAATTTTTTTTCCTGTATCATCTTTTCTGTTAAAAAGTGGCAGGAGGTTTTTCATTATTATCTTATTTAGGCAAGCTGGATATCTACTGACAGCCAGAAACAACTACTAAAGAATAACAAGACCTAAAACCCAAATTCAAAACAATGCCTGACCTCTCTGGCAATTTTTTTCCATTTACTACATATGTGTTAATCATTTATTAGTGTACCAGCTTATAGTTTTTGGTCAGCACAATGGTTCTCTCCAGCAGGAAACACAAGTTATGCTCTCTCAAAAGAGTACTGGGGGTGGAGGGAAAGAACTGCAATCACATCTCTGAACCTAAACAACAACAAAAAAAAGATTACGGGAAGATTATACAGAATCCACGAGATATTTTAGCACAGGATGGCACTTCATAGGAAACTAAGCAAGAAGTGATACCTCCTTAACAGAGCTTGGACAGATTCAGCCTCCACTAATTGGTGGGATGATAGCAACCTTGTCTCCAGGCTGCAGGACCAGGAAGATTTCATTAAACAACAAACCGGTGCACAGTCTAGGGCAGCTGAGGTAAATACCACTGAGACTTACTCAACTCTGCTTCCAATATACTTTCAAAATTATGACAAACATCCACCTCCCACTCTTTGATTTTCTTGTTGCAGCTAAGGAGAAACCAACTCAGTATAATTTTCAGAAGTCAGGAATTGGATTTGTCATAGGCCTTTATAAACTACATCAGAACCAACCAATGTATACCCACTTTAAAAGCTTCTAACAAAGTAGTAAGTAACTCAAGAGGATACCAACTATCCAATTTGAGATTAGAAGGAAATGTTCCCCTGATTCAGTCTGGCTGGGCTGGACAGCAATTTTCTTACACAGCAAGAAGTGTTGTGGGATGCTGTTTGTGAGATCTCATGAAGATTTGGTGGTCAAAGAGTTGCTCTTGTTGTATAACCTCACAGTTTGAGGCTTTGGGTCTTTTGTACTTAATAGGTCTGAAATTTGCTATTGATAAGGAGTGGCAACAGAGCTAAGAGAGCAGATATGGTTTTCTGGCAGACCTTCTATATATTGTTTTGGTCTTCACATCTGTGAGATGTTGTTGTGAGAGTCCACAGCTCTGGATACCACAAGGCAGGGAGTCGCTTTCACGACTAAGTGCAATCACACAGTGAGTATGAGGGCAACACCAGTAAGACAGCAGAAAAAGAATGCCAACATTTTACTTTAGAAGATGCAGGCATGATAACTGTTATTGTTTGAGACTACAAAATCTAGCACAGACAGTGGAGAGCTGTATTGCCTAGAAATAAGCAAGCGCACCAAAAGGGTACAAGTAAAAATCATTTTATTTCCTACCAGCCAGATAGACAAAAGCAGGCAAGGCACAGGCTGAGCAAAACACAGTAGCACAGACTCAGAGGGCAGACTGAAGGGAGGGACTGTATGAAAGTAAAGCAAGTGACTGAGGAAATGAGCGCAACTATGGAACTGAAGCGCCCATTAGAAGGATGGTTTCTAATTAATGTCACTTGCAAGTTAATTCATTGGGGAAAATGGGTGGAACAGAAGAGCATTGTCAAGTATGCTCAAGCTGCAGTTTGAATATCCATTAGCAATGTGAATGGAAATCTGCGGTCAGTGCCCTACAATTATGTTGAGTTTTTCCAGAAAAGCTAGGAACAGAAGCATTTTCCAAGGGAGTTGCTGTGAAGTAACTGCACATACAATATCATAGAATCATTAAGGTTGGAAAAGACCCTTAAGATCATTGAGTCCAACCGTTAACCCAGCACTGCCAAGTCCACCACTAAACCATGTCCTCGAGC